GTATATAGTGTTTGTCATCTCATTGATTGACCTCTCTCGTCGTCTATCCCTGTTATTTCCTCATTCTTCCTTCCCGCTCTTTCTTCCTTGAGCACTCATCTCCCTATACAATGAACCCGTTAATTGCACCATCCTCGTCACCCTCATTATGATCTATTGATTGATTGGACCATCGATTAGGCTCGTTACATCTATTGATTGATGGGACCATCAGTTAGCCTCTTCTCTATCTGTGCTTGCACAGTCTCTGTTTCTTCTTCATTTGAAGGGGGTTGTTGATTAGTGGGGGTCGTGATCACATCTCCCCCTCCCCCCCAAAATGATGTCAGAAAAAAAAAAARAAAAAARAAAAAAAAAAAACAGTTGTGCTTCAGGCCTTCAGCCAATAGGGTGCCGCCACGATCCAGATTCTCAGCTGTAACGTCTATCTACCCGTGTGCCCTCTCCTCCGGATTCCTTGTCCCTTGGGCACAAGGAAGAAATGGCTGGGGCCACAAGGATGCCACAAAGAATTTTCCTTGAGGCGTTTTCACATTTCTTTTTAAATTTCGTTCACAAGGACAGGTGGACCGAGTGCGTCCTTGTGGATTTCACGTCCCCAAGGAGTGTCGAACGAGCCTCCTAGTCGGTCCTCATCGCATCCCCTGGGCTCTCCACATTCCTCCTTACACTCCTCCTCCCCTTCCCTTTCACACTCTTTTAACTCCCCATCATTTTTCACACTGTTAACTCATCGTTTTCTCTCGCACTTTGTCGGGTCGATGGCTCACAGTACTAAGCTCTATTATGTGTATATTGCCCTCTTAACTTGTTTTATAATTTTTATTATTATTATTATTATTATTATTATTATTATTATTATTGTTTCTATTGGCCTCATAGCTATCAGTTTTTTTCTATCGGTAGTGTCGGTTGCTTGTTCACACTTAAGACCACCAGTTTTTTTTTTTTTTTTTTCCCTTTTGAAAAGTAAGCTGTATTCCTCTCTCAATTTGACCTTTCACTATCTACCTACCTCCACCCGTTCACACCGAACCAGAGTAATGCTCCTTTGAGGGAAAAGAAAAGAAAATAGTGCTCCCTTACTGGTATACGCCGTAAGGGCCTATTTCGATTGGGGCCTGGGTGGGTGGGGAAAAAAAGAAAGAAAGTGGCAGGGCAATTTGAAAAGGCACAGTTAGATCTGATAGGTGGCTGAATGGTACACATGCAAGGAAGATGAGCGATAGAGAACTTCAGAAATCAAACAGCATCATACACATGAGACCAGATAGTCATGACCTCGAACCAAAAGCAGAATTCCATCATGAGTTTCACCAAATAAGAACATACCAAGAGCTCATAATTGACAATGCTGGAATAGTCTCATCATCATCAACGAAGAACCGATGTTGATATCCTATCTGGCACTCGGCGCCCAGACTACAGATGGCAGATCCTATCTAGCCTACTCTACAATGCCGCCGGATGACGTCAACAGCTTCACTGAAGTACGAGCAGATCTCGTACAATGCCGTCGCCTCAAGCACCAGGTATGTCTCTCGTATCACTCACAACCTTGTTTCCTACTCACAGATGCCACTTGCACCCAAGGACCACCATGCGCCCCATCCAGCATACAGCAGCGCAGCTCGGCTATGGCTCCCTGCTCCTTCCAGCTCGCCCGTGAGCACGTGAGCCTGGCAGGC